ATGTGAGAAATATATTTACGTATAAATTGAAAAGTATATATTAAATTACTATAAATAATAATTATTATACACTATTAATAATTACTATAAATAGTGATTTAATATACATGTATTAATTGCGTTGGTACAGTCCAGACAATTTAGTGAACCATATATAATTGATTCCGAGTGATTGTGAGATCTTTCTACAAATGGTTATCGTGCACACACATTTAGACGAAGATTGCATGTTGTATTAAATTTACATCGCGGTTGCCTTTCTTCATGCCAACGACACTTTGGCCGCCCTTTCATAATCCCTACGAGTCTTTTGAACGTCCTTTACGAGGCTGAAGAGGCAGGCAGTTGAAGTGGTGGACGCGAGGCGCAGTAACGAGTCTTTTGAATCGCCGTCTCTCGCTTCCGGCTACAATAACGATGATAATTCCGCAGAATAACACGTTTCTGCAAACGAGTAGAGGATTAGCTCATTATTTTAACGCTCGGTCAAACCGTGTTCTTAGCACTAAACGTATTATTTACAATAATATGTAAATCTTATATAATTGACAAAAATATGTATTAATTATAAACAGATTTGATAGAATTGACGGGTGGACTGATAAAAGTCAATTCGATAAGGCTTGTTGAAATTTATATTTTCGGTTTAAACGTGACTGCATTCGATTTTTATCTTATTCATGTCTGTTGAACAAAGTGAAAGTTGGGCTCAGCTTGGGATTTTTAATGGTCGGTGATCAGAGTAATGGGCTACTGAAATTTACAGCTAAATGTGCGGTAACACTACAGAGGGATTGTAACATCAAATGTCGCAATAATAATAACGCGAAAGCGTGGTACGTGGCAAAAGTCGCGTTCCGAAAGATTCGCGTCTCGAGGAAGCCACGATGCAACGGCGTATGTTATGCACAGCTGATTGAACGAAATGACATCTTACGGTCCGTCACACCTCCATCGCCATCCATCCGGTCTGTAATAGACAATTTTGCCACCCACCACGCATCATTCCCCAATGCCGCGTTGGGACTTGAGGCCCCGAATCGTCCGGATATCCGGACGAATCGCACAATTATACACAAGATATGGCAATTGGATCTGATTTTTTCGGACTTGTTAAAGGACAAGATTTAAAATAATAAATAAAATAAAAGAATCTTTCAAACATTAAATGAGTATGTATGCCTAATAATTCTTTACCGTTTTTTATAAAAACTTATCATACTATTAAATTTTAATTTTGATTTACTAACAAAATCTCAAATAGCTTTCAATTGAAAAATAACGTACGGCAGCGAATTCAAGATTTAAATAAAAATTCAAATTTGCTAAGTAGAGCAATAAAAAAATGTTATGGAAAATTACAAGTCATTAAATATATAGATGTTCAATTACATGATATTATATTTAAGATTATTTCTATGTTTTATTTATTAATTTTAGATTTTGTCAGTCCTTTTGTCAGTTCGAAAAATTCATTAAATTTCTTTGCTGGATGCTGTATATTCGGGAAAACTATAATCTTGAACTTGAAGAAACACGTATATCTGACAAGTATAAAATCGTGATGGAAAAAGTTGAGGCGTTCGTAGGTGTTCTTAATATCAGGAGATACAGTATCGCGACATGAATTATCATGTTTGTGTCGTCGCGAAATTCGATTTTGCATGTGTCCCATCCAAGACAGTTGACGTCACGCCGGAGGGCTCTCGAGTTACACGTAAACATCGTGGTTCGAGCATACGCTCTAGCGATGCTATCGATTTCACGACTACGATTGCTGCAGCAGCCGCGCTAATGTGCTACCGCGACTTCGTTCGTCGCGCTCGGCTAAGCCCGCGTTTAAATCGCCGAAATACCGGCCGCTGACATTTCGCTGCTCCAATTTGACGTCGAGATATTCGGTAAGCGACGAGATTTTCGCCGCGGAGGCGAAGGCAGGTACCGCAGATTTCTCCTGGAAGGTCTTATCTCTTTCAGCGAAAATGTGTGGTTTCGCAAGTGTCCCTATTTGTTTCCACTTAATAATAATGCTTATTTCGTCGTCAATTATTTCATCGTTGCCAAATAATTGCCAATTTAAAATAAATTAACGCCAAGTGTCTTAGAGTTTTTCACTACGTGGATATTTCAACAATACTTTCTTGGTATTTGACTCTGGATTACAGTCGAAAGTGTCGAAAAAAATATAGACTTTAGAAAATTAATTTCTCCTACTTCCCAAACTCTCTGGTTGTGACGTGTGACCTCCATAATGTTTTAGCTCCAACGCGAAATCATTAATAAAATCTACTGTTAAGTTAAATCGTTGCAACGCTTATTAGGCTCGTTCGATCCAAACTGTCGGCGTTATTTCGAGGGCCTTTAACATAGCGTGAACCATATTAAATCACGATTTCGTAACATAATACCGTACTATGGGGTGCTATATCTCTCGATTATTATTGTTACTGTTCGTATTCGGTTAATATATCCCGGACGCGGACGGTCCGAGCGGCGAAGGAAGGGAGAGCCGGAGGTGGAAATTTTTGAGGTTCGAAAATTCACGAGGGCGAACGCACCGGCGTGCGCGCGCGCGCGTGAGCATGCAGTGCGTGCGTGTATGCGTGAGTTTCCCTGCTCGCGCTTCGGCGGTCGCGGGCCATGCCGTCGGGGTATGTGTGGGTGTAGGTGCGTGCTATCGACCGGGTATCCTCTGTGCCGCTGGACGGACGGCGGCGTGCCCCACCCTGAAGAGAGTAGGGAGCTCCGGGGCTCGGGAGCGAGAGAGACGCGGCGTACCGGCCGCGCGGGTGACGGAGATAACGCGAACTTGAGGGGCGAGAGAGTGAGGAAGAGAGAGAGAATGAGAGAGAGAGAGACCGCGGCACGCAGAATGCCGCCTCCTGCTTAGTGATAGCGTAGAGACTGTAGTGTTCACATCACACCACACACCTAACCAAAATTCTCGTTCACCGTTTAAGGAAAGTTCGATATATATACGTATATATATATATCCGCACAAATTAGTCAGTTAGTTTCTCGCACACGCATACTACACGACTGACCGATACACGCCCGCACACACGTATCTTACACGTACATATATAATATATATATATATATATATTTATATGTATATTTTATATTCGCGTCGCGAGACAAACTGAAGGGCGCGCCCGGCCGAAAATCGGACGAGAGAAAGAGAAAGGGAGAAGAAAGAAAAGGGCACAGAGCCGGCGGGAAACGTGACTGATCCTCGTCGAGGAATTTCCGAAGAAGGTGGTGGTGCTGCTGCTGCTGTTTCCGTTCCGTTTCGTCACGTTGCGTCGCGTTTTCGATACATCCGGCGTTTGTTCCCCCCTCCTCGACACGTCGCGAACGAAACGAGAGGGACCTTTCATCCCCGGCGCGGCCGAGATTTTCCTCGTGACATTTCCTGCTTTATATACCCTGTCGCAGCTCGCGGAATCTCGACGTGTTTGCGTCTCGTCGCTTCGCGAAACTTGAAGTGAGATCAAACGGAGTGGATAGCTTGATCCGATGTTTACTGATTTTTTTTCCCCCGCGAACGTCGTAAATCTGTGATAAATCTCTTTGTCCCTTTTGGAAGTATCGTCCGTTGGAGCGACGTTAGTGCGGACCTGTTAGAGCTATTAGAGTGCGTGCGACTCGATGCGACGGCCGGCTCTCGGCGCGGAACGTCTCTCGTCACGTTCAGAGTGTGTAATTACGCGTATTATGCCATCTTCGAATTATAGCGGGACGAGGCCCGCTCGATTGGACAAAATTACGAGCCGGATTACAGGCCTGACCCTTTTTTGTAATAACCGCGCGAGCTGAGAGAGTCTCTCCCCCCGAGTCTCTTTCGCCTTGATTCTGCGACCGGCAATTTCTTGTTTTATCATTAGCTAATTGTTCGATTGTCTAATTTATCCCAGTTCACTGCGCGTCTTAATTTGAGTCATTTAATTTTACGGAAGTGTTAAACAATGAGAAACCTGATTCCCTCGACCGGTGACGTTATAATGGGGCATCTTTTTCAAGAATTCGGCTGTTTAACTACGATTAAACGTATTAATTTTGAACGTCTTGTGTCTTAATGCGCAAGTTGATTGATAGTAAGAATTAATATTTTCGTCTTACAAAAATATCGTACGCGACGTTTCTTCTTCATCTTGTACATCTTTTTTTTATGAACTCGCCAAATCTCAGCGTTCACGTTTGGAACGATTACATTTCTGCCAACGAAGATTAACCTTAATCTCTGTTTAGCTTTCTTTTTGTCTCTAATTTTTAAAATTAGAAAAAGATAAAAGTAAGTTAAACCGAGATTAAACTTAATGTATATTGGTAATGGAAGCGGGCATAAAAGAATCATCCCCTCTCTAAAGCCATCGTGGAAAATCGCGCTCGTTCCCGGAAAGTAGCCGACGTGTCGGTGCGCGAACGTGTTGTCGCGAGCGAGCGTCGTAAACGCGAACGGAATTAACGCGAGAGCTAACACGAGCACCACCACCTCGTGCAGTAGATCGCTCTGCTCGGAGAAGAGAGCCACGCGGGAGCCGGAAGGGCAGCAGCACCAACAGCGCGGCGTCCAGCGACAGCAGCAGCAGCACCAGCAGCAGCGACAGCCGGAAGGGCAGCAGGAGAAAGAGAGAGAGAGAGAGAGAGAGAAAGAGAGTGAGAGGAGGAGCACACGAGCAGTAAATACGAGAGAAAGGTCTCTCGGCCGCGACCTTTGACCCACCGCGACCTACCACGAGCCACCACGAGCCCTCGTTGTTTCCGAGCCCGGGCCGAGGATAAGTCGTCCAGGATTCATCAGGATTCATTCAGGATCTTCGAAGGATCACGACGGTTGTGGCCGCGGGGGAGGTGCGGCGCGCGACTGAAAAGTAGCAAACGGGGAAAGGACGGACGGAATCGCGTCCCGCGATTCGAGAAGCACCACTCGTCACGACGATTCTCCGTCCACACCCGCGTTTCTCTCTCTCTCTCTCTCTCTCTCTCTCTTCCTCGCCGTTTCGTGCACCGGAAGCGCGCACTTGCCTAACGCCGGTCGTCGTCGCCTGATCGTCGCGTGTGTGCGAAGCTCCAGGATACGTGAAAGAGACTTGATCTCGCGCCGTAGTTTAAAAGAGCGGTTCGAGCATCGAGTGAAGATTCCGATTTTCTCGCTCGATCGCGCGTGGTCGTTTCGACCCTCTCCTTTTCTCTTTTGCGGCCCGTCTTCGACTCTCGCTCGTCAGGGGCGTCGTCTTTGTCGCCGTTAGTCTCCTCGTCGTCGCAGCGACATGGGCGGATGTACTTCGAAGGATACCACGTCGGGCGACGAGTACGTATCCGTGAGAAAGCCTCCAGCGGATTGAGAAAGACCGCCTCCTCCTCTTTCTCTCTTTCTTCATCTGTTCTTCCCCGTCGTCCCTGTCTCTTTTCAATTCTTCCGATTTTTGTTAGAGCCTCACTCTCAGTTCTTAGATACATCAAGATTTTTTTGTTTGTTTTAGGTATATTTTAATTGTGATTTATGTGTATGTCTATTGAAGTTAAGATACTTAAAATTATTATCCGTAATATAACGTATACTGGATGTGCCATTATTGATAAAATGATAATGCATTGAGAATTTTAGATATATACAAAAGAGGTTCAAAAGGTATTTTTTTCAAGAATGAATACTGATATCTAGGGTAACTGTCCTTATTAGTGTGCTTTTATATTTAAATAAATCATAAAAATAAACTGGTACAAATAAATAGACAAAGTGTTTTTTTATTAAGTTAAAGTATTTACTTAATAAAAAAAAACACTTTATACCAGTTTATTTTTATAACTTATTTAAATATAAAAGCACACTAATAGGGACAGTTACCCTATATCTGATATCTGAGAATTTCACGTACGGGAGTCTCGATAAGGATCTGAATAGTTGAATGTGTTATGGGACGAGATGTCAACAATTTTTTGGGTTCCCGCTTTTTTTTTCCTTAATTGTGTCTAACGAACTTGCCAGGCTGGTCTCTTGGGTTTATGACGTCTCCGGATTTTTGCGCGATGGTTTAACGCGACATCAATGCCCGCTCCGCATGTGTTCCGCGTAGAGGATTCTCGCATGAGCTAGACTGTCTCGTCTCGTCTCGTCTCTCCTCATTCTCGAATCGACGCGACGATCGGCGCATAATCCGTGTTCCGACGAGCGATGGGCGGTGTATGCTCGTCGCTGGGTTTATGCGAGTCTGCGGACGACCAACAAACCGTCCAACAAACTGTCCAACAAACCGAGAACGACGATGACGACGTGTATGTATGCTCATTCGGCATTCGACCCTAGGATGCACTCCGCGAAAACTGCAACTTCGATCCCTTTCTAATGGATTCGATGGACCGTTCGAATTCGTCTATTTCTCATAACGTGTTGGGAAGGCAAGATACCCGGGAAACGATTATGAACGTACCATTCTTTATTCTTGAAAAATATCGCATATAAAAATCTAATAGTATACGTTATTATACGTTAATAAAAATCTTTATACGTATAAAAATCTTGTAGATATTTATAGCTATTATACGTATAAAAATCTTAGAGTATATGTTAGTATACTAAAGATTAGTAAGTTAGTAAACTAAAATTTGTTAAGTGTATTATAGATCTTACAGCATACGTTACGTGATAGATTTTTGTATGCAGTATAGATTCAAGAATAGGCTCCCCGTTCTTCTTTGAGAACTTAAAAAAAAAGGCTAACCATGGTTATAATTAACATGGAAAGGTTTAATTTTCTTAAAACTAAGAAAACTGAATTTCGATTAATATTTAAGAAAAAGGAATTGCACAACTGTTACCCCGAGCTCCTTACTCGCGACGTGAAGTTTTTAACTTGCAGTGCATCCTAGAGTTACCAGATGCAAGTGCACCACGCATCAACAACGAGGCACACGTGCTGCACCAAAAAAAATGTTAAAAGCATACGTGAAGTATAAATATCAAGTATTACAGAAAACATATGTATGAGAGCAATATCACGTCGTTGAAAAAAATAAAATCGGATACACCACGGATTCAGATCAGAATTATCCGATTTGATCGGATTAATGCCTGGTATTTAGACGCGACAGATGTTAAAATACTTTGCACTCGCAATTTAAATAACATTGTATATGAATGCAACTGGCTATGCGTATTTTACAGCATCCGTTCTTAATTCGTGTTTTTTCGATGTTTTCTGCACGCTGTAAAAAGAGACCACATCGAGCAAGGCGAGATAATATCAATTGAAGGGATAATTTTTAAAATTAAGAGAATTCTAATATTAATCTTAGGATGAAATTAAGAAAGTCAAATACGAATTTAATAATTTTACCAAGTTTTTGAGGAAGTAAAATTAGATTATCTCAAGCGGATTGGACTGACTGAGTCCTTCAATTGAGTTACCAGAAAATTTATCTTTTTTTTTATATTTTACTATTTGTAATGAAAACTTTTCTCATCTTTGACATGATCTTTTAACATTTTGTTACAGTAAAAAGAGCAACAACATGGTGGACGCAGCAGTTCTGGACAAACTGGAGTCCGGCTTTGCGAAGCTGGCGGAGTCCGACAGCAAATCGCTGCTGAAGAAATACCTGACCAAGGAGGTCTTCGATCAGCTCAAGACCAGAAAGACCTCGTTCGGCTCCACTCTCTTGGACGTTATTCAATCTGGTCTGGAAAACCATGATTCCGGCGTTGGTATCTACGCGCCGGATGCCGAGGCTTACACCGTCTTCGCTGAGATCTTCGATCCCATTATCGACGACTATCACGGCGGCTTCAAGAAAACTGATAAGCATCCGCCCAAGGACTTCGGTGACGTCGACTACTTCGGCAATCTCGATCCCACCGTACGTCCTTCCTACACATTTCATTTGTTTTATTACAAGTTTCCACGTATATAAAAAATATATATAAATAACATTAGCACGAATTGTACAATAGTAATTATTAAATTACATAACAATTATGTAATTGAATAACAATTATAAAATCTTGATGACATTTTTTCCCTCTTGTACAGGGTGAATACATCGTGTCGACTCGCGTGCGATGCGGCCGCTCTTTGGATGGATATCCGTTCAATCCGTGTCTGACGGAGGCGCAGTATAAGGAGATGGAAGACAAGGTATCCAGCACGCTGTCGGGCCTCGGTGGTGAACTGAAGGGTACTTTCTACCCGCTCACCGGCATGAGCAAGGAAGTGCAGCAGAAGTTGATCGACGATCACTTCCTCTTCAAGGAGGGCGATCGTTTCCTTCAGGCAGCGAATGCCTGCCGTTTCTGGCCCACCGGACGTGGCATCTTCCATAACGACGACAAGACCTTCCTGGTCTGGTGCAACGAAGAGGATCATCTTCGCATCATCTCTATGCAGATGGGTGGTGATCTTGGACAGGTAACTATTTAGAAACGACAATATAAATTAATACAGATTTTTTTCTCGCTATATGTGAATGAATACACTTTCTTGTTTTTAGTAAGTCGCATATAAGTAGTACGCATATAAGTTTCAGTTATATATTCATTTAATGAGAGTAAATATTTAAAAAAAGAAAATTTAATAACATAAATATCTGTAAAAGATGTCTTAAATATTTTCTCTTAGTAGTAAATATGTTCTCTTAGAAATTTTTTTTAAAACTTATATTGTTTAAGTATCTAAATGCTTAATATTAAAATGACAATCTTTAGTAGAAAAGACTTCTTAACCTTAGACTTCAGATTCAGTTTAGTAATACGATGTACCAATTTCACATTTAAATACCAATTAATTTGTATTTTACCCAGGTATACCGGCGCTTGGTGACGGCGGTAAATGAGATCGAGAAGCGGCTGCCGTTCTCGCACAACGATCGCTTCGGCTTCCTGACATTCTGCCCGACGAATCTGGGTACGACGGTGCGAGCCTCTGTGCACATCAAGGTGCCGAAACTCGCGGCGAACAAGGCCAAGCTCGAGGAGGTCGCGGGCAAGTACAATCTACAGGTGCGCGGCACTCGCGGCGAGCACACCGAGGCCGAGGGCGGCATCTACGACATCTCCAACAAGCGCCGTCTCGGCCTGACCGAGTACCAGGCTGTGAAAGAGATGAACGACGGCATCGCCGAGCTCATCAAAATCGAAGCCAGCCTCTAAATCCACTCCTCCCCCCTTCCCCCTGACACACCTCGTATTCGTTTACTCTCCATCGTAGCCCCGTCGGACGCCACTGTTATTACATGACGTCACGCTGGAAGCTGTGTCTATGGCGTGACGGATTTTGTTCCGAGAATAAATCGCAAGAGCATGATTTAAAGGGTTGTTTAACTCTAACGCCAGCGGCATCGAGCTTTTCAGCCATTTTCGCGTTATCCGTCTTTATATTACACGTATATGAAGACGTATATATGATGAATATCGTAATTAGCGTTGTCTAGTACGATGTAAGCTGCTCTCGTACTCGAGTAATCTTTTTCCATTGTTATTTTTTTTTCTTGACTCAAGTCTAAATCAATAAAGGAAAACTTCGGTTCGTAATATACGAGAGATTACATCCTGTTGAACATAGGATAAAAATTCCTGGAGGAAGATAAATCGTACGCTTTGTCAAACTATGATACATACTTTCTATTTATATATATTTCTTTATATCATGTCCGTGTATCTTGCTAATTAATTTAATCGAAAACGTGAAATCTTAAATTACGAAAGAAGACGAAACATACAGTAAAAAGATTTTATAAGAGATCAGCTCGCATCGCACTCCGCATGTTGTATTCGACAGTATTTTAGTTTCGTTCACTTGTTCCTTTTTTTTTGTTTTTAGTATGTAATTTCGAAAGATCGGGAAATGTTCTTCTCGAGGTGTAACGCACTCGCGATTATTTCGCTTTTATTTCTATTCTTTTTTTCTTTTGTCGCAATCGCATTCGTTATTGATGATACATAGTCACGCGCGTTCACACACTTGGTAGTACTCTAGTACTAGTCCCTTGCAATTCGTCGTGATTGTCTATTAAAACGAGATAATAAAGGGAAAGGAGAGGGAAAACGTCGTCGCTGTTTTAAAAAAGATATTCGTTCGATGACGACGGTTTTTAAATTGTCCGTGTTCTTCGAGATTGTCACGGATCGCGTCAAGGGTCGCGGGGAGTGTGCTGTTCTCAGTGCTCCGCGATCTTTCTAGTCTGCGGATGGAGAGCGACATTCATGTTTTTTCATTCTCTTTTTTACCACACATGAGAGGCCAAGAAGGAACATCTGCGCGACGGATATTAACACGCACTACAAAACACACGCGAGCAAGCGTTGCGGCATATTATAGAGACAGTGTACTACCAGCAGATTCGACAAGATGTACGGTGAGAATAACAAATAATGAAACACGAAAATAAAAAGACATACACATTATATATTTTCGTTGCGTATTTTACTCTCCCAATTTTGACATTTTAATTCCTGATATACTCTATTGAAATTTGATGGAGGATATCGTAATTCTTTTAAACTGATTGTATTATGATATATTTTTAAATTGTTAATTTATATATTTATTTTTGATATTTTTTACAATAGATAATTCATTAAATAATTTATGCAGTGTGAAATCTTCAATTTATGAATCTACATATAATACCGAAAAATAAGAGTTTGATTATATCGTTATTTAAACATATTTTTATATATTTGAAATATATTTTATTGAAAAGAGACAAATCATATTGTTAAGATCGTAGTTCATATTAATCAATAGTACATTTATTATTAATGATAAGAAATTTAATAATGAAAGTCGTTTTTTTTCACAAAAATCGTTTTGAGAATAAAGAATAGACGCACATGAATTTTTTCAATGTAATTGTTAAATATATAAAACAACTATGTAACTATTATTAACATGATTAATGTAGATGTACATACACTAAGCTTTTTATTTCAATATTGGAAAAAAACGTACCAACAAAAACATTCAAACTTAATTTTATTGAACATTATTTAGTCTACAAATACGCAAAGCTCTTATTGCGTGAGTAATAAAATATCTGTATGAAATTTGAGATTACAATGTAAAAATTGTATATTATCGTACAATTTAAATGTTTGTTTCTTACACTAACGATATGTACGATAGTTTTTAGAGCACATATAAAATATATAATACAAAGATGTACTTTGCAATTCACAAATTTGGATATTATTTGTACACTTCACATTTGCATATATTTTATATTCAGTAAAATAGAGGACAGTCTTGATGCTAATCAAGTAATAATTTTCATTCGTGTATGTACAATATATATATGCGTATGAAGGGAATCATTTGTATTTATGTCGTATGATTTTCGCGGAAGACAGCTCGGAGAAGAGAGAATAGACGCATCGCGAATCAATAATTAATGATTATAATGAATAGGCAATTGCATGTTTACAATAAAATAGAGAGCATTTCAATATCGAACTCTGCAGTGAACATAAGCTCGATTTCCAAGTTACATCTCCATGAATGTAAGCTTAATTGTAAAATATAGTTGAATGCAGTTTAGTTATATATAAAAATAGCCCATACAGCACAAAGCATTGAACTGTATTGCAATAATGTTGCAATATTGTTACAATATAAGTTACAATGATCTGTGCTGTATGGGTAATAAAGATTATTCGTAAAACTTTAAAAAATGAGATAATCGTATCTATTCTATAATTACAATTATAATCTTAATTTATGATTAAGATTCCAACCTCAGTATGTACATATGTATAGCGCTCGCCTTTATTTTCAGAAACATTCCGCAGTTTAAAAGTCTCGTGAGGTATTTGATAAAAATCTTTGTTAAAGATGTGAACAACTTTGTCTTCTTTCAAAAATTGAAACAGATTGACTTAGGTTTCCTGCTCGAAATACATGAAGTCCTAAAACATTAAAAGATACAAGTCAAAATGTATTGTATACTAAAAATTGAATTATTCATGTATTAATGCTAGTAGAAATTTGATTTTTATCAGAATTTTCTCTTCGCAATTTAACTCCAACTTCTTAATCAAAACCAATTAACATCAATTATATAATTGTGCTGATATTAATATTAGAAACAAAACTGCAATATTTCTTTTTATCTATTTCTTTTTTTGCATCTCTTTTCTTAAATAAACGATTGCATTTTTACGATACTTACTATTAGAACACACGCTCCCAGTAGCACGGCTTTTATTTTCACGTCCAGATCGCGCGGAAAGTTTATACCGAATGTATCGGCGACGGTGAATATCTCTCGGGTAAAACCACTCCAACGCTTTCGGATCATGCCGAGACGATGCTTATCATCCAAGGATTTGACCTGCGGATTTGATTGTTGATGAATAATTCTAAGAATTATAATGCTTATTGCAACAAAGTCATAGTTCACTAGTCAAATAATTGCCAGTTTGTATTATTATATTATCATTAATTCTTAAGCTCTGTATCCTAATTTCAAGAATTCTTTGAAAGCTTTGAAATTAGTTGAAAGAAAAATAAATTAAAAAATATTAATATAACATGTAATTATGATAAAAAATAATAAAATATAAGTGACATAAAATTTGGTTAAGATTCGGAATGTATAGCAGTACCTTAAAAATTACGTCAACACAGAAACGAATAAGTGGTCCTTTTATCATTAACACTGGCTGCCCGGATGCGTCGCGAATGTAAAATTTCGGTCGCCAAAGACTCCATTCTTGAGTAACGCTGCCTAATAGAGTATTTCCGGAATATACTTCTAAAACCTGTGAAAAAAATTTCAGTCATCTGCTAATCGAAAATTAATTGTAATTAAACTTTAAAAATAAAATTTATTGATAAGATCTAAGATTTATTTAAAGTACTTGTATGAATAAGGATTTCCAATCTCATTTAATCGGAATCTAAACAAAATTAAAGTTATGAAACAAATTCAAATACAATTATTTAGCAAATATTTAATTTTTATTGTATCTTTTATTTTCTTATACCATAAATAAACGAATAATTCTTTCCAGACATGAACACTAAATAGGAAATTGACATTGTCGTTTCTGTTCAAAGGGTATTGATCGGATCTTTCGACAATGCGGGCAAACTTTCGTCGAAAGATAAACTTGACAGATGGCCTGCACGTGTGAAGAAACTTTGGTAGACGCAATATAAAACAGTAGTTCTCATCTCATTTTAGACTTATTGTTATTTTCAATAGTATCTTTCTTACTCTTGTAATTTGATATAAAATTGTAATTTAAAATAAATTTAAGAAAAAATTTATAAATTTTAAGTTTAATTGCTAGAATATTTAAAAATTTATTGTTATAAATATAATAATTAATTATAGTTAGTAAAAAGGAAAGAATTTACTTTAAATTATTATTTTTAGAATATTTCTTCAAAATTTAGAACATTGATAATAAATTTAAAAATTAAACTCTGGGAATAAATGTTTACATTCGCGAATTAAATTTATAATTTTCATTTTTAATTTGAATCTCTTTCATTTAATTTTAATTTAAATTTCTAAAATTTACTAAATACGTTAAATATATTAAAATATCTGAAAGTTGTGGATAATGATAAACTTATTTTTGTATTTAAAGAGAAAATTTAAGATTTTTCTTTATCTTTATAAAGATAACTATACAAACACCGAAGAAATTCTAATAACAAAACTACCTGCAGATAGCAAGGACAACAACAACCGTCGCATCTGAAGGGTCGAATCATACGAAGAACCTCGTGCTGATTTTTATCGTAGATGTTGAATTCGCACTTGCGATACTTTCCCAAGCACAATCGCCAACAAAGTCCTGATTCTTCGGCCATATAAAACACCGGCTCGCCCTTGTTATCCGTAATAACATACTTGTTCTTAGTTTCCCATCCAGTAAAAGCTAAAGAAAAAGATAACATGTATAAGCGTTAAACGTATACATAATAATATGCTTAATACGATAAAATGATACGTAATATAATGCAGTTCAAATAATATAGAAAGTATGTAAAATAAGATATATAAAATATCGTATTCGTTGAGTAATAAGAAAATAATTTGAAATTAATTGCGCAATTATTACATCGTAATGTAATTCTGTGAGTTTGTCACAAAATAGAATACGAGATTATGTAATTATAGGATAATTCCATATTAACTATAATAATTTTGTAATTACATGGTTACGTTATAAAATTATGCGTTTATCATAATACAAATATACGAGAAGACTATCGCGCAAAGCAAACGTGGCTTCGTTTACTCGGGCATCGTGATCGTAAATCACACACACTCGAGCTTCGCGGATCTGGAATACATATATTCACATGCGCTCACGAAAGGAGAAGAAGTTATATTTATATCTCTCTTGGCAATGCTATAGTACTCACCTTGGAGCAACTCAACTTTTTGGTTCACGAAAAGATAATCAAGGCCCATAAGGTACTGCAAGCCGGGTGGATATGTCATATTCGGCGGCGACCAGCCACCTGAAAGCAAGAGCAATATTCAGTAAGTTAATGTATCGCGTCAATTATTATTCACATCAATAATAGTATGAATTCTTCAGAAAAAAAAATATATATAAATGGAAATATAAACTTGTTTTCATAATTTTGGCAACAAATGATCGATTAAGAAAAAAAATCAGTATGAATATATATATATATAATCGTTAAATACATTAACTAAATTTAATTGATTTTCTAACAGTGCACGCCACATAAAAAAAATGTTATAATACAAATAGTAGGTACTGCTAATATATTGTATGATTTTATAAATTCGTATCGAGAGATTTCTTTTTTAAATCGCTTAAAACAACATATAGCGCACATATACAGAATGTTCCGTAATAGATGTATAACAAGTCGCGAAATGCATGTTCGCCGAAAGGATTCTGCACCTCTGCTCCTCCTCCGTCAGAAATCTGGTGTAGCCCTTCTTCTTGGGCTTGTAATAACGCGTGAACGTTCTTTCGAAGAGTGTTCTCAGCCGTCGGCGAATCTGCTCCACCTTGATCTTCCACGAAGTCTCAAAGTATTCGGATTCCGTTGCACACGTGGAACGCCCCATGTTTCGATACTCTTTGCAGATGCACTTTTCTATCACGTGCTTCACATGTTTCCGTCAGTTTCCTCGAAATTGAAATACCTTTATCACTATTATAGAAACTAGCTCCATTATCGCGTCACAATTGTATCACCACAATCTTAGAAATATTATAAACGTGTTTTATTTGATCGTAGATTAAAGATTAAATTTATTATTCGAACTGAGAAAAGTTCGTTCTGTTCAAAATTCACTGTTCCAATCAGTATTATCAGTTTCAGAACTTTTGCTTGAAGTTCTTGCCGCTTCTTAAAACTTCTTAAAACTTTCACACCGCTGTCCCGAGAAGTCCAAGATTCTAAACTCTCATCCTCAAACTCGGCTCTCGCAGCTTTTCGAAATTCTTATCACTGTTATCCATCATCTCCTATCGCGATTGTTAATCTCACGAAAATAACTGTGTAGCGCCGATCCGAGACGTTCACCAGCAGCGTTTGCGAGTTATCGCAATTACTCTGCCGTCGTTCACCGCCCTCCTCGAGACGCAGGAGATAAAACTTTTTCCACAAGTATCCTCGTTTCCCCCTTGGTTTAGGTTTTTCTTCCTTTTTTCGTTTATCATTTAGGACATAAATACGGAAAACAATACGATATACCAGAGTGACGTCGCAGGCAGTAGTGCACGGTTGTTTTCCACACCGAGAAAGTTAACATCGTGAAAGAATGACAAGCCGCTGCGAATATTTCTATTATTGTTTAATTCCTCAAGCAAATTACTCATTTGAAGATCAAAGATTATTCATTCCATTCAAACATTTCATTACTTATCAGAAAAATTTTATCAATTGGGCCTGTTGATCGTTTATGTAGATTCAACGTATCTCACACGTGCCTGTTTCTTTTATATATTCCTCTCTTCGAGATTCCTTCAGTTTCTTATTTATTCAATATTTCTCGAATTTCTTATTTATTATTCATTCTCTCCAATTTCAATCTTCTTCTCTCTCCTTTTTATTTCCGACTTTCTATTTTTTTTCTCTTCTTATTACGACTAGCCAGGTAAAAAGCAAACAATACACTGATAGGCTCGAATGATCGCAGTGTTGTCACGTCGATGCTTATCAGAACGCTTCACGATTCAAACATATACGGCGAAATAATGTGTTTATCGTGTCTTGAAGAGCAACATAACACGAAGACCGAAAAGTCATCGTACAAATACGAACGATATCGTCGAACACGACTGTCTGGATATAACGATGATACACGACGGCCACCGAGGACGGTCATTATCTACTTTATACTGATCGTCACTCGCCTCGGCAAACGGTGAGCAACTATCACAGGGGAACGTGTACCGTCCGCGGATCGTCCTTCTCCATAGATCGCATGATTGGGACACGATAGCGTACACAGAGCTCGAATTTCTCGTGGCGAGCCGCAATTACGCGCTATAGGAGCAGAACACTACTTGGATTATGATCGTCAATGTGGAGGATCACGAATGTCCTCCGACTGTGTCTATCGTAATTAAGCGGTACGCTCGAGAAACAGACGCGGTTCCGTGCTAATAGCACGTTTAGATCAACGTTATACGATTACATTATAGCTTACATTACAGCATCAAAAATTATTTTGAATCAGACACGATATGTTTCTCATAGATTTTTGGTTGCTAAAAAACGAGATTTAGCCGCAAGTTAAATCTCAGGTTTCCAAAATAATCGAGATCGAAAGCTGCGAAAAATGAATATTTTTGCGACATTTGAAACCTTATTCTAAAAAAAATTAATGTCATCTTGAAATCCTGATCAAAAAATCATAAATATATTATTTGTTCCCTATAAAATGCAGTTTTTTTTTTTTATTTTGATGTCTTACTTTATAACTAATCTTTTTGTTGACGGATTTAAATACAGAATTTTGTTAAGACAGCAAATTTTCCGCCTATGACGATTGACGATAGGTCATATATATTTATAATTTATAGTTTTGTGGCTAATCAATACACATACACAATATAATTTATCGTCATAAATTCAGAAAATATATAAAATTGTAACAAAAATATGTATACATACACATATATACACGTTTAGCAAAATCTATCACGATAAATTACATTGTGCATATGTATCGATAGCCACAAACTATAAAATTTTATATGTGACTTTATCGTCATAGGCGGAAAATTCGCTAACTTAGCAAAATTCTGTATTTAAATCCTTCCTTAAATAAAAAAATTTGTGATAATAATTAGATACATAACGTTTATCTTCTCTACTTCTTATAAAAGCAAAGAAATTGCCCGACGATGACGCAGACTTTTAGATCGACGCCAATCGCAATGGATAATTAACGTTCTTCTCGATGTTAACTCCTTCACGTAACGTACACCTAACATATAGCTTTTATCTTGCTAGTTGATTAGCGATCTAAAAATGGCGCCGGGAAATGCTAATCCCGCTAAGTGAACCTTGCGAATGCAACTGCTCCGAGGAATTGCCGGGTCAACTAAATTTTCTTCCTCTTCATCTAGATTCGAGGCGACGAGAAAGGAGCAGAGAAACGTGGTAATCAGGTCGAATTAACTACCGCCGTCGCGGCTGACCCTAAATATTAACGAGTTAAGTAGATTTTTATTGTCTCGCTTACGCTTTAGCCGCATGCAGTTACGACGCCGAAAATCTAATTATAATAGAACTAAAATATACAGGGAAAATTTCATCGGTCAAAAACGGTCAAAAAGCAGCAGCGGAAGGATAATACGAAACGCGTTAGATACTTTTTGAATTACTCCTGTTTCCCTTTCTCACGAAACAAAGATTCCGGAACGATGTCGCTTCCAAAATTTCAATTAAATCGTTCTCCACAGGCGCTATTGACTCCATAAAGAATCCTGTATAGTTTGGTTTTATTTTTAAAGCCATCTTAAGTGCAGTCTAAAATGTCATAAGGCTGTAATCAGCAATCACAAAGCTGTAATAGCAGTTTAAAGCTCGTTCTACAATACGTCGTACGTCGGACCGTAAGCCGTAAGCCGTAAGAATTGATCAATCACAGTAGAATATTTTTCTTACATTCAACTATAATTGGTCAATTCTTACGGCTTACGACCCGACATACGACGTATTGTAGAACAGGCCTAAGACATTATTTAAGATGGTCTTGAAATAGAAAAAGAACGGATTGTGTATACCGGCTGTAAAATCATCACGAGCGTCATGTGTCTTGCGGTTTAGGATCTCGCACGTCGGACCTACAGATGCGTGTCGGTTTTTCTTAGCGCGTGCTTAAGCACAGCATGAATCTCGAGGAACAAGTGTGGAATAGGTCTGCTCTTTTACCTGGCGGCGCATCTGGTTGCGACGACGGAGCTGTTGGGATCATCTGCGGCGGCTGCATTCCCACCCCCGGCAGCGGTGCGTGGTACTTCTGGTCGCTCATTCTTCTGCTTCCGGCTTACCCTCGTCCCTCCTGTGAACAAAGCAAACGAAACCGGCAGGGTCAACCGACAAGGCTTCCGAAGTCGGACTCCAGCTAGGGCAAGATTATTTCGAAAGTCGAGAAAAAGAAAAGAAATGAAACCCGGAGGCGAACGAAAAGGCGGTCGTGTTTTGTTAAGAACGTAACAATATGAAAGATATTAACAAAATAAATAAGAGGGAAAAATTCGATCTCTAATTCAGATTCTTCTCAGGTTGAGGCATACAGAATAAAAAAATATGATTATTACTAATAATATAAACTCTTAATAAATATAAAAGCTAAAATTTTTCATCGGTATGTCTAAGTTAATTTATAATAAATAAGAGACAGATGACAATCTTGGATGTTAATAGATCCAGAAAAATCACCGGAGCTTACAATAGCTTTCTGAGACTCTGAGAGATTGGGATTTCAGAATGGTTTTGCAATTACGATTTCATTTAAGGTGAACATTTAAAAATTAATTTTTGCACTATATAAACAATATAGTATTAAAATAAACCCGCGTTTGCGTCTCTCCTACCGACGGAGGAAAATCCGAGAAGGAAGTATTAGTTCTGAAACGAGTCGACCGATGACGGAAGCTGGCTTTGCTCGCGTGCTATCATACCAGCTCGCGCACGTATGATACTGTTTATGTTGAAATTGTTGGGTCATCGTCCCCGCGCGTATCGCCGCTCGCCGGTATTCGCCTCGTAAAGGTCATTGTAACGCGTATACGCACGTAATTCGCGTGCATGTGCACAGTATGTGAGAAACGAACAAGCCGATAACACTTTTTTCTCTCTTTCTCTCGTCATTGATAACTATCCTTTGTTCCGCGATCTGGCCCGCCTAAATCGATAGCTAGCAGTACAGCTATCAAGCACGACCCTGCAAGCGACGTTTGGAAATTTCCTCGATTTCCACGGAAGCGCAATAAATTTCCTTATCGTGAATGCGAATATACCTTTTTATTTAAAGCGATCGATTTTCAACGAAAGAGAAATCCTTCCACTTTCCTTCTTCCCAATCTTTCCTTCTGAATCCGGGAATTTTTTGTCACGCATGATTCAGAGGAATCATTGACACACAAAATTTTCAGAACTAACGCATATAACCACGTTTTTTGTTTCACTAGTTATTTAAAAAATTGCAGCTCTCGCATTTAATTTAAATTTATATCTGATATCCATTTCGAATTTGGAATAATGATAGACAGCACACAAATTTGCACTTTTTTTCGTAAGAAGTAAAATTTTTGTAATAAATATATGCAAAATGTTAAACCTTAGAATTTAAAAATTAGAATATATTTGAAAGTTAGAAAACTATGTGCAATTTACTTTTAATTGCATTTTAATTGCGCTTTTCCCACGTTCACAAATTCATAATCGATTAGTTACAAGTTTTTATATAAAATCGTAGAATTATTTTGTATGAAAAATTCAACGAAAGTATTGCTGTGGCATTTGTGACGCATTTAAATTTATCAGATTATCGTTTTTATTATCAAATTAACGCTAAAAATGGACACAATGAGCACTATCAGCACCTTGTCACATAGTAACTGATTACAGAATTACAAAGAATTTATTCTGTAACATGTTCTTCAATATTAATTGGTCTGTCATTTGACAAAAATTCATTTGAAATACACGTAAGTAATATATTAAAATTAAACTTTGTATAAATTTTGTATATTAAAATTATTAACAATATAATTATATAATATAATTATAGAGTGTAACTAAAGGTACGTCCAAACTTTGACGGTACAGTCCTCATGTCTAGAAGATGAAAAGATCTTATACGAACATCGGTCTGGTAACGCTTCCTGCGTAGTTATTTCGGAAATACATCGAATTACAGCACATAAAGCAATGGATCGGATAAGAGGAGGGCTGATAACTTACTAAATCCACAACGTGTGTGTGTGTGTGTTTTTCAAACATTCCAAGCAAAAACAAACTATCTCGTGTGTTCATACACAATGTAAACAGATTATTAGAAAAATATTTCTAACCAGGAAATAAAACATTTCCGGATTATCTGATTATGTTTTTATGTTCTAAATATATGTAAGAAACGTGTCCTCAAAGTTTGGTCGTAACTTTAGTTACTCTTGTAGTATGTACTGTAGATTTTTCTATGTACATTAACAGCAAAATCTGTATATGTAAAATTATTCATTTAATCAGTTATTTTTCTGTCTCTCGATATACTAAAATTAAAGAAATAAGCAAATAAATGAAATAGAATATTTCACGACGAACGAATGAGACGAGCAGTTTGAGCTTTACAAAGGTGTCTCTCTTCCTTTTTTATTTTATTTTAGACGCTATTTTTGCGTCGGAATTATAACGGAATTCCATTGCATCTCGCGAATCGCCGGAGCAAGACGAAATCGCTGACCGCATACGTCACTGAACGTGCCCCACGTGAACATTATATCGGATCGTACTACTTTTTAACAGCCTTGAATGAAGGTTTTATGAAGCCCAATTGACAGTTTCCTCGTACGTTCGTTTTGGCCTCGATTTTTTTATCGCTGCAATTTTTACAAGGTGTCACGCGCCCGCATTCGGGGCTCCGCGCGCGTATCGGGAGCCCCATGTCGATATCTGATATGACTTCCGGAGAGTTATTCAAGCGTGAACGATTATTCAAAGAATTCTAGCCAAAGATATTCCGAATCCTAAATTCGAAATACGAAATGCGAAATATGTCACATTTTCTAAATCTTAAATTCTCAGAGAAACGTGAATCTCGAATTGCAAATCTTAATTTATAAATCTTAAGTTTGATATTTGAAAAATTAAATCTTTTTCTAGAAAAAGTAAAATTCTAGAGAAAGATTTAATTTTCGAAATCTATAATAAAATCAAATAAAATATATAAATACACAAATAGAAACAAGTAATAAAAGACAGACATTTCGATCTTTGAATTTTTTGAGCACATATATTTTCTATATTTAATTCTTTCGAATAAAATACAAATGTTTAAGTAGATACTATGCAACAGATCACTAATTTAAATCCTTTAAAGCTTCGCCACTTCGATTGGAATCGCGTATATTGAATCTGTACATAAATGAAATTGCACAGAAAAAAAAGAAATAAAAATATATAAAAATTGTCTTTATAATCTTGTTCAACCCATAAATATTTAAGTAAATAATATAGCGTCTTTGAATTAAACGATTTTTATATATGATTTTAATTGTTTAATTAATCTATATATGTATATTACTGTTCTTACATACATATGTCTTTGAA